AGCAGTGCATCACGGACCACTCCCGCAGGAAGGGCTACAACTCCTCGCAGGACTTGCCCAACAGTGTCCTGGACTTTATCAAGCTGCACCCGCTCATGTTTGAGGAGGTGAAGCCAGCTGGTGGGGAGCCACTCCTGGTGAAGAAGAGCGTGGCGTACAGCCAGCTGGCTGTGGACAGGGTGCAGGCCCTGGATGGCCTCTCCTACGATGTGCTCTTCATGGGGACAGGTGAGTGTGGGATGAGTTTGCCAGGTCTGTGCTAGACAGGGGGCACACCAGACATTCCCTCCTGAACCCCTGCTCTGCTCTCCAGGGGACGGCTGGATTCACAAGGCTGTGGTGGTGGGCTCTGGCATCCACATCGTGGAGGAGATGCAGGTGTTTAGGGACCCGCAGCCTGTGGAGAGCCTGGTGATCTCTCATGCCCAGGTGAGGGAGAAGCAGCAGGGAGACATCACACACAGGGCATGCTTGTCCTGTGCATTGGGCTGTTTGGGGGCACGGGGGAACATGACTCCTGGGTCAGCCCAGCTTGGGATATGTGCTGGAGTGCAGCAGGGCAGCCTGGCCTCCTCGCCAGCTGCACCCATCGGCACTGACTGCGACCTAGGGGCCCTCTCATGCATCCCCATCAAGGAAGAGCTCTGCCAGGGGGATCTCTGGGCACCATGGGGCACCCCATAGCCCAGTAGCATCATGCCAGATCAATGCTGAGCCAGCCCTTTCCCCATCAGAGGAGCCTGTATGTGGGGGCAGCCAGCGGGATCGTGCAGGTGCCCCTGGCCACCTGTGACAGGTACACCTCCTGCTACGACTGCATTCTCGCCCGGGACCCCTACTGCGCCTGGGATGGCAGGGCCTGCTGTGCCACCGCCACTACGGACAGGTAGGGATGGGCTGCCTGTCCCCAGCCAGGTCCCCACGAGCCTTCCATCTATCCCATCCTATGCTGTTGTGCATCACCCCATGGCACAGTCGCCCCAGAGCCACCCCGAAAGGTCTGGCCAGTATCTGGTGGTGGGTCTCCTGGTGGCCATGACCTCCTATAGGGTGGGCTCAGCCGAGGCTGTATGGCTGAAGCTCCTCAATGCCTTGCAGCACAGGGCTGGTGCAGGACATTCAGAGCGGCAACAAGGGATGCCGGAGCATCTCTGGGCGGGGTGAGTCTGCCACCACTCGAGACCATGGGGATGCTGGTGTCCAGCGTCCCTTAGAGTGGCCAGGACAGGTGTGAGGCGTTGTGTGTCCCCACAGGCTTCCTGCCATGGAAGAACCGGACAGTGCTGCAGGGGGACGACGTGCTGCTGCCCTGCGACCAGCGCTCCAACCTGGCCCGAGCCGTGTGGCTGCTGAATGGCAGTGAGGTGCTGGGCATGGGGCAGGACCGGCTGCGCGTGGGGGTGGATGGGCTGCTCGTGACAGACACGCTGCCCCAGCACAGTGGCGAGTACCGCTGCTACGGGGAGGAGCGGGGTCTCCAGACACTGCTGGCTGCCTACAGCCTCACTGTGCTGCCCGAGCTGCCCCGCAGCCCTACGGCTGCTGCCACACCCCACGCTGCCAGCCAGGCAGCCAATGACATGAAGGTTGCTTACATCTCTGCCATTGTCACCTTGGTGGTTCTCTGTGCTGTGCTCAGCACCGTCCTCCTCTACATGTCCTGCCTGGAGAAGCGCAAGGGCAAGTACGTGCTGGGGGAGCCACGGCCATCCAGCGTGGAGCTGCAGACCATCTCAGCCAACTGCCTGCGCAAGGGCCACCGGGAGGAGGAGGAGGAGGAAGAGCTCACCTACCCTGACGGCTGCCTGCGGATCATCCCTGGTGAGGCGCCCACGGCTGCCACTTCCCCAGTCAAGGAGCTGCCGGTTGCCTCACCCCCACTGCCGCCTCCGCTGCCGGCCGAGCTCACCAATGGCATGGGGGCTCTGCCCAACGTCCTCCGCAAGATGAACGGCAACAGCTACATGCTGCTACAGCAGCAGGAGGAGCCTCTGGTCTCCCCACTCTACAGCGCGTCCTTCACTGAGGAGCTCAGCAAGATTCTGGAGAAGCGGAAACACACGCAGCTGGTGGAGAAGCTGGACGAGAGCTCCGTGTAGGGGCCAGGGAGGGGGGTCCTGCCAGCGGGACCCTCCTCCCCTTCAGCCCCTTCTCCCACCCCTTTGCCAGCAGTGTTACAAGACTCAGGCGAAACTACCTCCTGGATGGCAGAGCCGGGCCGGGCCCGGGCGCAGCCGTTCCTTTGGCTTTTACTTTTGAGACTTGCTGTACAGAAAAAAAAAAAAAAAGAAATACGCATCTATTTAAATTTGGGAGCTCTATTTATGTATAAAAACCCACCGACGGTGGCCACAAGCTGGAGATAGGAGCTGGCACTTGGCTGAAGGTGGACACCGGGGGGAGGGAGAGTTTCTGTCTCTTCATCCAGGCATGAAAGAGACACTGTCATGGACGCGTGGACTCAGCCAGCCCTGCTGGGTGTTCCTCGGCACATGGGAGCCGGACAGCTGCTGAGAGGTGGGTGAGGAGCAGGGAGGGGGCTGGGGGCTGATGCACTGTGCCTGTGCCTCTTGCAGGGGGCAGGATCCCTTTCCGGCATGGGAGCGGGGGGTTTCTCCAGCTGCCCGCTCTCAGGCAGGAGAGGGGCAGTGGACACATCTCACATTGTGGGGGCTGGCCTCAGTGGCTGCCAGCCTCTGCCCGCTCTCCCACGTCTGCTCCCCAGGGTTTCCTCTCTGGGAGAGGATGGTTTGGCAAGGGAGCGACACGTGGCGAGGAGCTCATGGCCTGAAGGCACTGGAGCAGCTGATGAAGGGGCGTGTGCCCCCTGCAAAGAGGCCACAGGTGAAATACTGGGTTGGGTGCCCTGGGGAGGTGGCATCCCCAGGCCCTCTGATCCTGACAGGGCTCTGCCTCCTCTCCCCAGGGCGCTGGATGCAGCAGCAGGCAGCAAGATGCACTAGCAGCAGGACTGGCAGCCACCACAGTGCCCTACAGCGTGACAAGGGACCAGCGCAGCACCCACATCCCCTTGACATCCACAGTGCCCCTGTGGCCTCAAGCACGTGTTTCTGCCCTCCTGTGTGGTGCTGTTGGAGAACTGGGGTTCAGGCACAGCCCTGTCACCTGTGGGACAATCCATGGGTGGGGAGATGTCCTCATACAGTGAGGAAGAAGAGCCCTGGACAAGGGTCTGCCGGTCTGCCTCCTTCTGGAGCATCCTCCTCTTCATGGCACTTCCCAGAAGCAGCCATGGTTCTTAAATCCCCCCAAGTGTTTCTGCTTCTGCCACCTCCTGGGGGAACCTGAGAGACTGGTGACAAAAGCATTTCATGTGGTGACACTGGAGAAGCTGTGGAAGGACAGACTTGCTGGGCTGTGTGTCCTCCCCTGTGTTCCTTGCTGGCACTTCCATGATCAGGACATTGCCAGCTCAGCCCTACAGGGGAGACAAGCAGGGGTGGCAGCCCCTGGGGTCCCTCATGGGCTACAGCACAGGCCTCCTATTCCAGGAGAGCAGTGCTTAGTGGGAAAAGGCAAGAGTTGCACACCTGGCTTCTCCCATCCTGCCCCCACTGTTTTTGCTGCAAGAAGGGGACATGAACCACTGCTAAGGACCACCCTCACCCTCCAAGGAGGGGTATCACCCTGTGTCTGGCACCCCTCGTGCACAGCTCCACATCCCCTTGGCAATAAACACGGCTCTGTCTGGACATGGTGTGGCTGCGTCTCTCTACAGGCAAGAGATGGATGCAGAGGCATGGGTTTGTGGGTGGAAGAGGCTTTATTGCGGCTGCAGGCGTGGGCCCTGGACAGTGAGGATGGAGGGTTTGTTGGTGAGGGGGTGCCACTGGCCCTGAACACTGGGATTGTCGGTGTGGAAGGGCTTGCGGATGCGGATGATGTCCAGGCCGGACTGGTTGGCCAGCTTGGTGATCAGCTGCACGATCTCCTCGCTTGTCTTGCTGGCAATGAGCTCCTCCCGCACTGTCCCGTTCACTGCAGCAGAGCGAGGGGGTCAGGCCAGGATCCCCCCACTCCACAGGCTCACAGGGAGCAGCTGCTGATCTCCCATCCCACAGCAGCTGCCCCAGCACTGTCTGCCGGGGCACAGCAGGGACAGCCCCATCCCCATTCTCTCCCCGTGTCTCCCAACACTCACAGTACTCAGCCCGCACCAGGGGGCCCGTGCCCGAGCAGGGGCTCACGTAGAGAACAACATCGGGGTGCTGCCGAGCAAAGTCCTGTGCTTCCTCCTCCACGAACTGCCTGGGGAACAGAGGGACCGTGAGCCCCAGCCAGGCCAGAGATGGGGGAGGGTCGCAGCCCCCACCCAGGGCGAAGGTCACAGGCGGGGTCACCCCCCCCATGCCCTGCCTACGGGAAGGGTCACAGCGCAGAAGTTGGGGTGATGCCCCCTGTGCCCGGGCGGAGCTCAGGGGTCACCGGTGCCGCCTTCCAGCCCCTGCCCCGTCTCGCAGGAGGTTCGGGGTCCCACTCCGCCGCTCCCCTCTGGTCATGGGGCTGCAGCCACGTCCCCTCCCCACGCTGACAGGGCAGGGGGAAGATCCCCTTCCCCCAGTTAAGGGGCCACCAGGCTCCCCACTCCCAACCCAGGAAGGCGGGTGGGCGCCTCCGGCGGTACCTGACTCCGCGGGCGTCGGCTGCGGTGGGGCTGAAGAGGAACTGCAGGCGCTGGAGCTGCCGCACGTACCGGCCCACGCCGTTGTGCAGGACAGCGGTGAGGAACCGGCTGGGCGACCCGCGGCCCGTCATGGCTCCGCGCTCACCCGGAGCCGGAACCGCCGGAGGGGCGGGATGGGGAACGGCGGCCCCCGCCCCGCCGGGAAGTGACGCTCGCGGAGCGGGAGCAGGCAATGGCGGTGTCCGTGTGGCCCCACGTGGGGGCGGCGGCCTGAGCGGCTCTGCGGGGCCGGGGGCCGCGGGGCAGCCGCCCATGCGGAGCGGCAGCGGCGCGGGAGGGTGCGGGGGCGGTCAGGATGGCTCTGGTGCCCCTGCGGCCCGGCAGAGCCGCCGGCCGCCTCCTGCCGCTGTTCTGCGGGGGGACCAGGAGCAAGGGAGCCTCCCTGAGCCCCGGGGTGCCGGGCCGCCTCGGCCAGCGGCGCTACAAGAAAGACGTGTTACCCTCCCCCGAGGGGCCCGCGCCCTCCGTCTCCATCACCGAGATCCGGCAGTACCTGCGGGCCCACGACATCCCCTTCCACGACGGGTACAGCTGCCTGCACACCCCCAGCCTCTTCACCGCCGACCACGCGGACCAGCCATCGCAGGCAGCCGCCAGTGCCCCGTACACGCTTTTCATTGACAAGACCACGGGCAGCTTCCTGTGCACGGCCACCCTGGCCGAGGGCACCTGGCAGGACTTCCAGGCCAATGTGGAGCTGTGGCACCGTGGCATTCCCCCCGCCACCTCGGAGGAGATGGAAGAGGACATGCGACAGGCTAGCGAAGATGCCCGCTGCATCTGGGACCGGGCTCTGCCGCTCTGGGAGCTGCTGGATGAGGAGGAGACCAACAAGACCAAGGCCATGTTTGGTATCTCCCTGGTGTCAAATGCCACCCTGAAACGCTTCGGGGTGCGTTATCTGAGGACTGCCAAATCCCTGGTCTTTCCCTGGTTCAGCCCCCGCAATGCAACCCTGAAGGGCCTGAAGCTTGTGAGGGTGGAGAAAAAGGGGAACACGGTAGCTTACCTAGAAGAGACTTTACCCCGCATCGATTCCTATCACAATCTTTTTGGGTTGCCCCTGATCGGCTGTCGAGACACGGAGCTGGTCTTAACTGGGTGGGAGCTGGATGCCTTGGCCTTGCACCAAGCTGCAGGGGTGGCCAGCCTGGCCCTGCCGCGGGGAACCACCTGCCTGCCTCCCGCCCTCCTCCCCTACCTGGAGCAGTTCAAGCGCATCACCCTGTGGCTCGGTGAGGACCTGCGCTCCTGGGAAGCTGCCAAGCTCTTTGCCCGCAAGCTGAGCCTCAAGCGCTGCTCTCTGGTGCGCCCTGGGAACCTGCAGCCCCGGCCCTTGGAGGCTCTGAACCAGGGCCTGAACTTCACCAAGATCCTGCGTGCTGCCCTGCCCGCCAGCCACAAATCCATCATCTCCTTCCGGCAGCTGCGTGAGGAGGTGTTCGGGGAGCTAGCCAACACCGAGCAGGTGGCTGGCATCAAGTGGATGCGCTTCCCCGAGCTCAACAAACTCCTCAAAGGGCACCGCAGAGGGGAGCTTACTGTCTTCACAGGTAAGGGGCACAGTGGCTGGTGGACAGCGGGAGCAGAAGGCTCTTTGGTGGCTTCACCCTTCTGGGGTTTATGCCTCATGAGTCTTCCAATTCTCTCTGCTCATGGGTTTGGCTGAGCCTGTCTCACAGGAATGTGAGAGGCTGGGGTGCATTCCTCAGTTTGGTGGGACTGGGCATGCTGACGTGGTGATGGGCTTCCTGCCTGGGGCAGCATAGGAAGTCCTGGACTGTCCTTTATGCCTGCTCCCACCTACCACCTCCTGTCTGAGCCCTCCCTGTGTCCAGCCCTTCCCAGAGACCCACAGGCTGTGGGAGGCAATGCCCATTCACCCAGGCGTGCAGTGTAGCATGAGATGTTGTTTATTTATGGTGCGAGTACTGTGGATGAGCCTCTCTTATCCCACTCCCTGGCACTTCCACCTCTCAATAGCCTGCCACCACATTCAGGATGGGTAGGATCAATCATGTCCCCAGCTAATTCCTACTGTTTCTGTTCTTGCACTAGGCCCAACGGGCAGTGGGAAGACCACCTTTATCAGCGAGTATGCGCTGGACCTGTGCATGCAGGGAGTGTGCACGCTGTGGGGCAGCTTTGAGATCAACAATGTCCGCCTGGCCAAGATCATGCTGACACAGTTTGCGGGTCGACGCCTGGAGGACCAGCTGGAGCTGTACGATGAGTGGGCCGATCGCTTTGAGGATCTCCCGCTCTACTTCATGACCTTCCATGGCCAGCAGAACATCAAGTATGGTCCTGCACCTCCATCCCCAATGGCATTTACCCCTCATGGCATGTGCTGCAGGGCCTTGGGGAACTGGGGCTCTTCCCCTGCAGTGAGTCACGGATTTGGGGCTGGCAGGAGGCATGTTGGGAATGTTCAAGTCCTGGAGTTGGCGTGTGGGGACCTTATGGCTCCATCAGCTGCATTCCTTCTGTTGTGGGGACTGTCACAGATTCCCTCTGGGGTGGAGGTGAAGGGAGAGAATGTGTCCCCATGCTAGGATGTGACCATCCACACCCTGCTCACCTGGCAGCACTGTCCTTTGCTGAAGAGGTAGGACAGGCACCTCCAGCTCCTTCTATTCATGTGCTCTTACGGTCCCCGTGGGTTGTGGGGATTGCAGGGCAGTGGGCAGGGGCTGTGCAGGCAGTAGCTGGGTCCTCCTGATCCCAACTGCCTTTACTCGTGTGGGTGGGGCTGTGCCTGTCCTGCAATGGGGAAGATGCAGAAGTGGGATGGGCTCAGCGCTCATCAGGACCCAGCCTGGTACCTCCCAGCTCTGTTTCTCTGTGTCTCTGTGCCTGGCTCAGCATCCCCATCCCCACCTCACTAATCCCTGGGGCTGATCCTGGTCTCCCCTGTCCAGGACGGTGATTGACACCATGCAGCACGCTGTCTACATGTACGACATCACCCACGTCATCATCGACAACCTCCAGTTCATGATGGGACAGGACCACCTCTCTGTGGACAGGTAGCCCTTCTCCAGTCTGACCCTTCATTCCCCTGCCACCCTCACTGGTGGAGCTGTTCCTGTCAGGTGTCATGACAGGGGCTGGGGACCCACTCAGGGTGTTTCCTTTACTACTGTCTGGCCACTCTGTTTCTTTAAAGGGTGAACACTGCCCTAGGGAAGAAGAGATAAGAAGGGTTGAGCAGGTTACCAGCCATCCCCGCTGTGCCACATCCCTTTGTCTATGTGGGCTTGGCTGTCTCATGGAGAGTGATCTCACACTCCTGGGTGCTTCCTGCTGTGGGGATGAGCACCTTACTGCACCCTGCCACCAAGCAGTCCCGGCCCCTAACCCTGTTCTTGCTGCTGTGGCAGGCTCATTGCCCAGGACTACATCGTTGGTGCCTTCCGCAAGTTTGCCACGGACAACAACTGCCACATCACCCTGGTCATCCATCCCCGCAAAGAGGATGACGAGAAGGAGCTGCAGACAGCCTCCATCTTTGGCTCTGCCAAGGTGAGCTGGGCCAGCCTGTTCCCAGGAGGGGTTGGGATACTTTGGACAGTTGTTCCCAGCTCTCATCAACACCATGAGTCTTCACTGGGGACTTGTAAAGAGCTGAAAGGCATGGGATTTCCCCAGGAGTCCTCATGCAGGCAGGGAGCAAATCCATTGGTAGCTAAAGCTCTGTTGGGGCTTTAGGTGGAGTTAATTAATAGTCATTGAGTATGAGTGGGATGTACTAGGAGATAATTAAAGAAGGAGGCAGGGAGGGTGCAGGGATGGGCTCTCTGACTACTCTGGTCTCTTCTGTGATGCTCAACAGCCTGCAGTGGTGGGCAGGAGATGCTGTCTGTGCACAGCCCTCCTGTGATCCCGTTTCCCCAAGATGTCCTGTGGCTTCAGCTGAAACGTGTCCACCTCATGGGTCACTGGGATGTCCCAGGGGAACACAAGGGGTTGGTTTCAGGGAAGTGCTGGAATTGCTGTGGTCTGGGGTACCCCTTAACAGGGCTCAATGGAGCTGGGCAGGTTGTCTGTGAGCAACTCTGAGCCCTGTGACTCTGTCTGTATCCCTGGCACTCTCCTGGAAATGTTTTCTTCTCCCCAGGCCAGCCAGGAGGCTGACAACGTCCTCATCCTGCAGGAGCGTAAGCTGACGACAGGGCCAGGGAAGCGCTTCCTGCAAGTGTCCAAGAATCGCTTTGATGGGGATGTGGGCATCTTCCCTCTGGAGTTCAGCAAGGCCTCACTCACTTTCTCATCCTCCAAAAGCAAGTCCAGGCTGAAGAAGGTGAAGGAGGAGAAGGAGCTTTTAGCCAAGAAAGCTCTGGAGGGAGGCATAGGAGCCTCCAAGAAGCCATGAGCCCATCAGGTCTCTTCCTCCGTTTGTCTGGAGGGATGGGGGACTAGTGCTGACAGCACAGGGCTGGAGTATGCCAGTCCCTCTCTCTGGGAGCAGCAGCCACATGCCACTGTGGCCCCTCTTCCTGCATGAACCAACCTCTTGGCCACAAGCACAGTGTCTCTGAGTACCACTGTGAGAGGAGGAGTGGGCTAATCCTAGAAAAGAGTGAGCTGGGGAAGGTGCTTTGACAAACACTGGCTGCTCCATGCTGGTGCTAAGTGCTGGGAGCATGGTGGGAATGGAGTCAGTCTAGGCTGGGTGATGGTGGTGATCACCTGTGGTCCAGGGACTTGGGTATCTCTGGACTTGTGACGCGTCGTTACATTGTGGCTAAAATGGAGCTGAAATCATGAGTTGTTGCCAAGTGGGAGGGACTGAGTGGGGGCAGCTGTGTAGAGGGACACATACTGGAAAAACCCCCGTCTTGAGTGGGGTTCTGAGGGCTCAGTCCTGGCTGGGATGGAGTCAGCATGGGAAAGATGGTGACATGTGGGAGATTGTGGATGGCTCTTGCCCTGGAACTGTGTGCTCATGGTGGGAGTGGGTGCGATGTGGCACTCTCCAGCTCTGCCCTCTTGGCTGGCACCCAACCTGACTCCCTTTGCTCAGGGTCTCCCAAGCCCTTTTCTCCGGGCATCATCAGCAATAAAATCTCGCAGGGAGCAGCCCTGCCTTGCTCTGCTGCGCTGGGGGATCTGCCACCCCCCTGCCCTCTGGGCAGCAGGCAGCAAATACTGTGACCTGGCCAGTCCTTGCCTTGGTAGGATGAGTCCACAGCTGGATCTTGGTCGAATCCCTTCAATTTTTTTTTCCCTTCCTATTTTTATTAAAGAATAAACGCGAGTGCCTTTTCTGTCCCTGTGACTGGAGGATCCTGGGGCTAAGGGGGTGTACTCTGGCCAGGGAGGGGTTGGCCCCCTGAGGACTTCCCTGCTGTGCCCAGCATCCTGCCCTGGCCCTGGCACACGGGTTATTAGCAGCCTCTCTGCTGGGCATAGTTTTAACCTGAGCCATAATGAGGGGCCGGAGCAGGCGGACGGTACACACCCAGCCCTGGGTTTCCGGGATGCACCTGCTCTCCCTGAGAGCGCCCTTGGGTGCTGTCTGTTCGAGTGTGAGTACCCTCAAGGCAGGCTGGGGGCAATGGTGGAGGATGGTCTTGGGGAAGCAGAGGTAAGACATGGGAGCGAAGCTGGGTCAGGGTTTGCATGGCAGTGTGGAGTGAGGGGGTTGTGTGGGTGTCCCTCCTCAACCCAAGGGCCCCCTCCAGCTCACTGGCCCCCATTTCTCCAGTCTTACTCAGGTCAGGTGTTGTCATGGGGCTCTAGAGTGGAAGTGAGGCAGTGGGGTAGCCCGGGACCCCCATCTCCCAACCATCCCTCCTTGGGGCTGGGAGGGGATGGAGGAGCTGAGCCTGTGACCCCAGGCCCTGGAGGACAGGTGGCCACCCATGATTCTCTGGGGTGGGTGAATTGATGGAGGCTTATTTTATTCTCCTTTTACTCCCAGTTTGGGTCTCGGAAAGGCTGGGGAGTGGCATTACCTTTAACATCTCATGGATAGAGGGGTTGCGATGTCAAGTGGGTCAGAGCCCCCCAGCACCCTTAGCAGAGTGCCGAGCTCTCCGAATAATTGGGGAGGAGCGAGAGGGGCATAAGCTCAGGGTGACCTTCACCCCAAAGGCCTGGGGGCGCTTTGGAGGTGAAGAGCCCCGACCTGGAGGGGCTTGGCTGGGGCAAAGAAGCAGGTGAGCTCTGGGAATGCCCCGGGACGGACGTGACTGGGAATGTACCGGGTGAGGGTGGCCCGCGGTGGGATTGCCCCACGCACCCCACTGTTCCCTCGGTCCCTTCCCGCGGGGGCGGGGCCTCGCGTTGGGGGCGGGGCCTGGTGAGGGCGGGGCCTGTGCGGGGCGGGGCCGGGGCGCGGCGCGGCGCGGGAGGCGGCGGCGGGGCCGCGGTGAGTGCGGGGCCGGGCCGGGGCCGCCCGGGTCCCGCGGGGCCGGGGGGGCGCGGCGGCCGTGGCGGCGCTTCGGGGAGTTGGGTTGGAGGGCGCTTCGGGGGGAGCTGCCGGGGCTTGGGATGTTGTGGGGCCGGGCCCCCCGGGGCCGATTTGGAGGGGTCCGGGGCGCTCTGGGGGGCTGCGGGGGCGGTGGCGGCCCTGGGGCGCCGTGGGGTGCTTTGGGGGTGTTTCAGGGGCATGTCGGGACGGGGCTGCGAGTGCGGAGGCCCAGAGGGTCTTTGGGGCAGTTGAGGGGTTCTCGGGACACTTTGGGGGTGCCTTAAGGGAGAGCTGTGGGGCAGTGCAGGCCCAGGCGCTCTGTTGGGCACTTTGGGGGTCTTTTACAGCACTTTTGGGGTGGTTTAGGAGCAATCAGCGGAGGTGTGGGGCAGCAGAGGCCCGGGAGCGCCGTGGAACATTTTGGGGGTGTCATGGAACTTTGGGGATGGTTTAGGGCACTTTGGGGGAGCTGTGGGGCAGCGGGGCTCACGGGCACCAGGGGGCAGTTCAGGGTGCTGTGGGATTGGGGTAGGTGGAAGCACCATGGGGCAGGTTGGGTGTTGTGGGGCTCATTGGGGCGGGGGGGCTCCGAGCGGGCAAGGGGAGCAGCACCATGGAGGGAACCTCAGGATGCCGGGGTGACCAGAAAGGGGCACAGCTGGGCATGGAGGGTTTCCATCCCATATGTGCCAGATGTGTAGGGAGGGACGAGGGGCTGATTCCCCTTGCTCTGGAGTGGCCCTTAGGTGCCGTCGAGGCATGGGGGTCCCCCGGGGGCCCGGAACCCCCAGCTGCTCAGAGAGGGGATCTGGCTGAGCAGGGGCTGAGTCTTCCCTTGGCATTTCGGGGTTGGAACGGTGGGATCCGGCAACACTGTGCTCCAGCCGGAGTGGCTGGTGGTGACGCCACCCCAGTTGCTGACTGGTTTTACTGGGCGGCTGGAGGCTGGGCTGGGCAGCCCCTCCCTCTGCGGACGACGGTGGGACCCTCTCGGCGGACCGGGGGACTGGCGGGAGGGAGAAGATGGAGTCTGTTCCCACCACCTGCTTAGCAGGGCCCCGTCAGAGGCAGTGCCCCCTCTGGGCTGTGTGGGGACCCACTGTCCCCGGGGGCGTCTGTCCCCCCCTGACCCGTACGTCCCAGGGGAGTTTCGCTGGGGTGGGGTGCTGTGCCTTGGCTGGCTGCCGCTGGCGGGCCATGAGGTGTCCCTTTGGGGGTCCTGATCCGTTATTCCTGCTCTTCCGGCAGCAGGTCCCCATGGAGGGCTGTTGTCCCCACCCCCTCCCGGGGTAACCGCTGCCCACCCTGAGTGCCAGGAACAGCGCACCCACCGCCGGGCTTCCCTGCCACCCTGCCACGCTGGCACCACCTGCCCTGGCCCCGCCGGATGGGGGTCTTGGACGGGGGGGCAGCGGAGACACAGGAACCCCTGCTGCCGTTCGGTGCCCTGACCCCCTCCTCTTCCTCCTTCCTGCTTCAGGGGCCGGCGGAGCCGTGTTTGCGGTGTGGAGGCCTGAGTGGACCGGACGGATGGGCAGCGGCTGGCGAGGTGAGCGGAGCCAGTGGTGGGGGTCTCCCACCTTCCCACCCAAGGGTACCAGGAGCACGGTGTGAGGTCACGGTGCCTGGGAATGGCACGTGCCGGGGGGGGTGACGGTGGCGGGGGGGCTGGCTCGCCGGCATCTCTCCGCTGCTCGCCCCTCCCCGGGCGCTGGCAGGCAGATTGATTTCAGGTGACAGCTCGGCGGGCGAGACCGTGCGGGCAGCGGCCCCCCCCGCCCGCGCCCTGTGCCAGCCGCAGCCCTGTGCGAGATGCGATGAGGCAGCGGGGGATGGATCTGGCCTGTCGGCTGGCTCCCGTCACGTGGGCGTATGGCATGGGTTGGAGCAGGGGGGGCGGGGGTCACAGCGGAGCACTGGCAGAGCCCCCCAGCTGGAGGGGACAGGAGCAAGCCCCCATGTGTTAGGGCTGGGAAAGAGACTGGTACCACCAGGCAACTTCCCCCTTGGTGGCCATCTCCAGGGGACCCTGTGGCCCACTGTGGATAGTTGGGGGTCAGGGTGCACCCTCTCTGGGGTCACTGCAGAGAGATGGGGATTGTGGGGCAGAGGAGGTGGCTGACACTGGCGTATGGGTCTGTCCCTCACTGCCCATGGAGCTGCACTGGTGAGTGCCATGGGGCAGGCAGACGGGCAGGCTGCCCATGAACCGGCTCTCTGCAGGCCTCTCGGGATTCGCCTCCAGTCCTGGCACGCTTCCCGTGGCAGGGTCATGCCAGGGCATGGCGGGAGGCAGGACCGCATCGCTGCTGCCCTACAGTGCTACCAGCATCCCATGGCCCCTGGCAGCCCCATGCTGCTCCACTGGGGTGCTAAGCACAACTTGGGGGGTGCTAGTGCCACACCTCCAACTAATCCCAACTTTGTTCTAGTTCATTTGGCATTTCCTTCTGACTGCTTCCCCTTGGGCCAGTCCGTACCCACAGGTTAGGGGATGGTGGGGAGTGCCCTTGTGCCCAGCTGGGGATGCTGGCAGCTGGTGGGGCACAGCCAGTGGTGCCCACGGCTCTAATACTCTGTCTCCTTTGCCTGCAGGCTGCCCGTGTGCCCCTGCCCGCCGGGGGCCCCCCCACCATGGCCATCGTGCAGACGCTGCCAGTGCCCCTTGAGGCTGCTGCTGAGGGAGCCACACAGCTCCGTGCCGCTGCCGCTGCCTGCTCACCCCCCGCCGCCATGGGTAGCGTGGGCAGCCTCCTGCCCGTCCGGCCCCACCATGACCACGCCAGCCAGCCCTGTGATGGGGATCCCCTACCACCTTCTGCAAGCAGGAGGGGCTGCTCCGGGCCACTCCTGAGGAGCCCCGTGTGTCTGTGCCCATCATCACTCACTCCTATGCCAATGGTGGCTTCTGTGGTGACTGGCTTGATGCCTCCTCTCCTGCCAGCCCCTGCAGTGACTCAGATGAGCTCCGTGATGACCAAGCACCAAATGATCACCTTCGAGGGCCACCCCCCAAGCTTGTCCCCGTGTCTGGCAAGCTGGAAGAGGTGGGGGGGGCAGCAGCAGGGTGGGTGGGTGCTGGGGTCTTGACTTTACTGCCCATGCCACGCTGGGACTGTTGGCTCAGATGTATGAACTGGGGTCACATGGCCACACTTTCAGTGTCCTTTGAGAAGTGGTGGTCCCCATGCCCTTAATGTCCTCTCCTTCGTGCCAGTGGGTCTGGGGAGTCCACTTGGGCATCTCATGGAAAAGGGATGGAGCGAATGGTGACTGGCCCTTGTCTTCTTTGGGGTGTAAAGGCATCAGGGGTTGGGGCACCCACTCTCACAGTCCAAGGCAGCCCTTCTTGAGGGTGGTGAGTCCTCCTCAACCCCTCACTCTCCCCTGTTTTCCTGACAGAATGTGGAGAAAACCCTGATTCGCCCCATGGCCTTCAAGCCGGTGGTATCCAAGCTTCGGAGTGCCCAGCCAGGCACGCGCCTGGGGCTCTCGGAGAGCCAGGTGAGCCTCGCCCACTTGCTGGGTGTCGAGAAGCCCGGCTCTCTGAGCTGCCGTGCCAGCACCCTCTCAGACTCTGGGCGCAACTCCCTCTCCAGCCTACCCACCTACAGCACGGGCTGCAGCCAGCACCCAGAGGTGGGTGCTCTGCCGACCACCCCCCATGGCCCCCTCGATCCCCCGGTGGGCTGCCGCCCCTCCAACTCGGACAGTGGGCGCTCGTCCTCCAGCAAGAGCACGGGCTCACTGAGTGGCCGAGGCCGGCCCTCCTCAGAGAGTGGCTCCTGTGGGCGCTCACCCCTGCCTGGCGAGGAGGCCATGCTGGTGCGGGAGCTGGAGGAAAAGCTGCGTGAGAGGGAGGCCGAGCTGCGGCTCCTGCGTGACAGCCTGGACGAGAACGAGGTGGCCATCTGCCAGGTATGTCCCTGATGTCCCCCTGTCCTGTTCCTGTTTCCCTCCCTGGAGCACCTTAGCTGGGAGCAGGGACCCTATACAGTCTCTTGTAGGAGGTGCTTTCTCCTGTGGGTCTGGCTATGTGGGTTTTTCCCACCAGCTGGATGGTCCTATATAGTCCCTGGGAGAGTCTTGTATGGCCCATGGGGCCACTTGTACAGACTGGGGTGCTTTATCTTGGGGTGCCCTTTTTTGAATGAGCCCGGGACCTGTGGCTTCTCCCTGCTGGTGGTGGGGCTGAGGGAGCCCTGTAGGATCTGGAGGTGCTGACACGGGGGGCCCATAATGCAGAGGGATAGAGGGGCATAAGGTGTGTACCCCCACATCACACTTCCTGGACCCTTCCTCCATCTGTGGGAGGTGCACTGCCCCATCTCTGTGATGCCAATCTTGTAGAGGACAACAGAAGTGGGGGCATGCTGTGCTGCCCCTCCAGCACTTGTGCATCCTCTGGTCCAGGTGTATGAGGAGAAGCAGCGTCGGTGTGAGAAGGATCTGGAAGGGCTGCGGCAGCGCTGTGTGGCCCAGGCACGGCAGGCGGCCCATGCAGCGCAGCGGGGGCAACAGGTCCTGCAGCTCCAGGTGCTGCAGCTGCAGCAGGAGAAGAAGCAGCTGCAGGAGGACTTGGCCCAGCTTCTGCAGGAGCGGGAGCTGCTGGAGCGGCGCTGTGCCTCCTTCCAGCGGGAGCGCACCGAGCTGGCACCCCGGCTGGAGGAGACCAAGTGGGAGGTGAGTCATCCGGCAGCACCGAGCATGTCAGGGGGTGCAGGTTGCGGTCAGGGGTTCCTGGCCAGCGTCTGAGCCCCATTGTCCCCACAGGTGTGCCAGAAGTCGGGGGAGATTTCTCTGCTGAAGCAGCAGCTGAAGGAGGCGCAGGCAGAGTTGGCACAGCGGGGCGCAGAGCTGCTGGGGCTGCGGGCTCAGCTGCGGGAGGCGCGGGCGCAGCTGCAGGCAGGCGAGCGGCGGGCGCAGGGGCTGCAAGAGGCCGCCCGCCTCAAGGCACTGGAGCTGGAGGTCTGCGCCAACGAACTGCAGCGCCGTAAGAGTGAGGCTGACCTCTTCCGTGCCAAAGCCGGCCGGCTGGAGCAGGAGGTGGTGGGGCTGCGGGAAGCCACCCGCGGGCGATGCCCCCCACCTGGCGAAGGGTGCCCCCCACCCAGCGAGGAGCCTCGGGGCAGTGTGGGGCTGCGGCGGCAGCTGGAACAGCTGCGTGCGGAGGTGGCCCTGGAGCGGCGGCGTGGGCAGGAGCAGCGGGATGCCTTCGAGCAGGAACGTGGCACGTGGCAGGGCGAGAAGGAGCGGGTCATCCGCTACCAGAAGCAGCTGCAATACAGCTACATCCAGATGTACCGGCGCAACCGGCGGCTGGAGCAGAGGCTCCAGCATCTCCGGCTTCAGGGCGAGGACCCCTTGCCCGAACCCTGCGATCCCCCTGACCTGCCCTTTGAGGAGATCACAGCCACCGAGATCTGAGATGCTGCCTGCCTTCACCCCATGTTTGGAGAGCTGGAGGGGCCTCCAGCCCTTGCAATTTTGGGAGCTGTTGGGCTGTGGAGGGCCCCTGCTCTCCCCTCAGCTCTGTAGACTGCTGGCACTGTAAAGAGGCTGCAGGTGCTGTCCCCTCCCCAGCATGGAGGTTTTGGGGGTGAGGGTGCATCCGTTCTCACCGCAGTGAGGGGTGCCCGTGAGATGTGAGGTCAAGTGGGTGCTGCGTCCCGGCCTTGGGGCCGCCCGGAACTGGTTCCCACTGATCCTCTTAGTGCCTGGGGATTAGTGGCGCTGGCTTCAGCCAGGGTCACCTTGGGTAGGGGGAGGGCTGGCTTGTCCCCTCCCTCTTGTCCCTGCTGGCACTGTCACCCAGTCACTTGGCATGTGCCCCATCCCTGCCCATGCCAGCCTCCTTCATGCCCCTCTGTGTGTTTGTCAGGGAATTCGTTTCTGTGCCATTTTAAATAACTCTATTTTTATAGGACCTACCAAAACATATCACCCTCTCCCAGCTCACACTCCACCAGTCTGTGCCCCTTCACCTCTGCCATGGGGCAGTTTGCCCTCAGTGCCTTTCCCATGCCCTTGCCCCCAGAATCCCTCTGTTTCCTGCCCCCCCAAAAACACCCATGCCCCTGTGATGCCCAGCCTGCCAGGGGAGAGGGGTCTGGTGCTGCGTGTGCCAGATGGGGACACTCTGGGGACACCCCCAGGGTGGGCAGAGGGAGGTGCCCATCTGGGCACTCAGCAAGGGTCGAACCAAAGGAAAAGTCTGTCTGTGCCCAGCTGTGGCTTGGTCACCCCTGGCTCCGGGGGGGGTGTGTTTGTACTTTATTCCAGTCGTGTCTCGTTCCCAGAGCCCGGCTCGCCCATGTACCACCCAGAAACGGCGATTAAAAAACAAGCCCCTGGCTGTGTTTTTTTCAGGACTGTGTCTGTGTGTCCAGAGAAGGGTCAGGGGCCACCTGTCCCTCTCCTGTGTTGCCATTGGTGCTCTCCCTTGGGTCCTGCAGTGCGCAGCTGCTCTGTGCCTGTGAGGCGGGTCTGGCTCTCCCACCCTCTGGCTGTGCTGAGACCAGCCACAGCTCAGTGTAGAAATAAGCCATCTGGCTTCTCTGGAACATGGGATGGCTCCTTGAAGGGAAGGTGCAGCATCACTCTGAGGATGCTCCAGGCACCCGCACCACCAGCTCCATGGGCTCCTTGGCTTTGTTGCGGTAGGCCTGGCGGATGATGTCCACAGCCTTCTGGTGCGTGACGTTCTGCAGGCTCTCCCCATCCACCGACACCAGCTCCTGTCCAGCCTGGTTCCCGCAAGGGAAGACAGCAGGGTGAAGTGCAGCTCCTTTTGGGATGCCTGGGGACTGCCAGCAACCCAGCAGTACCAAGGGATGGGGGTGTTGGGATGTCTTTCCAGCCCGTGGCATGTGCTGGGTCCCCCAAGGTTCCCCCGTACCTTGAGGATGCCACTGAGGAAGGCGGCTCCACCAGGGAAGATCTTCTCAATCTTCACCACTGGCTGTGCCCTTGACTCGATGCCACCGGAGATGCTGATCCCTGTGAGGGAAATGCAAGACCCTCGCACCTGGGTAGGCTGGGACCCCCATCCACTCACAGCCATGGCACTGCCTTCCCCTGGCCAGCTGCACCTCCATCCTACCCTGTTTTGGTAGGTCCTACGTGGATGAGGGGCTGGGGCAGGGGAAGCATTTCCCCCCATTCTGGAAGAGTGCTTTGGGTTTTGACCCTTGTCAAGATGGTGCCACCCATACCAGTGATGCTGGTGCCAGGAAAAGGGTCTTCGTCCCACCCCTGGGGTCCCCTGGTGTACCACCCACCCAGTGAGTGCTTCAGCTTGGAGAGGGTGACAGTGAGCAGATGATACTCCTCCTCCTCCTCTTCCTCCCTGCTGGCATCCTCGGGGCCATTGATGGCTGCTCCGGCCTCTGCCTCACCCCCTGTCCCCCCAAAGAGAGGGGAAAGAGGAGCCCGTGCCCGCCGGGGCTTCCCCAGCACCTCGGCCCCTCTGTCAGGTGCTGTCCTGGGGGTCTCCTTGCGCCAGGTGGCCCGGGGGCTGCGTGAGCGCCCGTGCCTCTTGCCTGGGGGGGGCTCGGCCAGTAGCCAGTTGGGGGGCCGGGAGCCAAGGGTGGGCAGGGGGCGGCTGGTGCAGGCATAGGCATCCACTGGCACGTCGGGGAGCGGGGTGTAGGTGCGGGGGTGAAGCCGGCGGGGGCTGGGGGATGCTCTTGGACGGGCTGGGCTTGCCTGCTGCTCCCCATCTTCCTCTAGCTCTGGGGCTCCTGCCGGCTTCAGCAGGAATCCGCCCCGATAATCTGAAACGAGAGGGGCTCAGGTATCTCCCCAGGACCCCATAGCCTTGCTCCCTGGGACCCCTGTCACATAGGGATCCCCCTTGACCCCTGCAGCCCCACTCCCCATGACCCCTGAAACCACACAGCCCTGCTCCCTGCGACCCCTGCCACACAGGCACCCAAATCTTCCCCAGACAGTCAGATACGCCAGCTCCCTTCCCTAGGACATCTGACATCCTGGGACCCCCAGACTCCAGGCTCTCACCAGCTCTCTCCAGGTACTCCAGATCCTCCTCCCCAAGACACCCTGGCACCTAGGATCTACAGATTCTGCTGCTCCAGGTCCCAACACCCAGGGACACCAGGTGCCCTCTTCCCTGGGACCTCCTGCACCCAGGCATCCCAGCTCCCTTTCTCCTTCCTGAAACTGCCCCTATATCCCTTCCATCCCGCATCCAGTGGGGGCTCTACAGGCAGCCTGGTGTCCTGGCTGTCCATAGGTGGCACTCACCAGGCACTGGTGTGATGAGGTGTCTCTTGGGGGGGACATCATGGTGGGCTGGCCGGAGGGCAGGTGAGCGCACTGCAGTCAGAAAGAGCTCCCAGTCACACCCCAAGACACACTCACCTCTGCCCACTACCTTCCCCCAGTCAAGACCCCTGGGGGGTTGGGCTCCACCTGAGCGGCTCTTTAGGGCATCAAAGGCTTCCAACTCCAGGGGCATCACCATGCTGTCAAACCGGCCCAGGTCCGTGGGAGCGACCACACTCCTGCCAAGGCAAAGAGGGAAGACAGGTTGTGGCAGCCTCTGGGATGGAGCATGATCAGGGCTGAGGAGTGTGTCTGAGAGTCCGGGTTGATCACATCAGGCTGGGCAGTATTGGGCAGCAGCACTCACCTCACATCCCGCAGCAGCAGAACCTTCTCAGGCCGGTCCAGGATGGCCAGCAGTGGCCGCACCAAATCCTCCACACTGCCCTCGTGCAGGTACTGCGGGCACAGGAGGGGTGTCAGTGGATGGAAGGCCTCCTCCCCGTGCCTCAGTTTACCTCTCAGAGCTTAATGTGGGCACATAGTGCCTGCCATGCCCCTGGGATGCAGGAGCTTCCCCGAGATGAGCCCAGGGTGGCAGCACTTCCCTGCCTGTGCTCTGCCTTTGGTGCGTACCCGGGAGCAGTGGCGGAGCACGGCCGTCACCTCGTCAGGGCTGAGGAGGCGTTTGGCGGTTTCCTGGATATGCGGGAGCCGGGCCTCCGGATCGCTGCCATTGGGCTGCAGGGTGGTGATGCCCGTGGGACCCAGGATGCTGGCACGCCGGCTTTTCTCTGGGGAGGCACATCAAGGAGGGGTGGCCAGTGGGGTAAGGACTGCCCCAGGCAGCCCAGAAAGCTCCCCAGGCCCCCCAACCCAACAGTTCGCTCCACACCAGAGTAGAACAGACACACACAGCACAGGGCCAGGCACATGCAGAGCCTGACCCACACCCCCCTGGGCACACGGGCACCCCTGTTACCCCGCTTCAGGCTCCGGATGACAAACTTCTGCACAGCACCTACTGCAAGGGAGATGGAGAAGGGTGAGCACCCAGGGGAGTTGGTGGCATCCACTGCCCACTGTCAAAACTGCATGCCTTGGGAACCCCTCCCTATGCCCCCTCCATGCCAGGGATGCCTCTACAGGCCCATAGAAGGGGGGACCAGTCCCAGGTTAAGTCCCTCTCTGCCCTGCCACCCAGTCCAGTACCTCTGTCCCCGTCAGAGCGCCCTGGGGACTTAGCACGTGCCCGGCGATCAGAGGCAGGGGCCTCCTGGCTCGGGGGGGCCCAGCTCTGGCTGGTGGCACGGCCCCCCTTGAAAAAGAGGTTGACAAGGGTCTTGGACCGGTGCAGCCCTGGGGGAGTCCCCCGTGCCCCTTGTCCGTCTGGCTTCTCCTTCTTCCGCTTCTCCTCTGTGGATAGAAAGAGGGGGATCACTGGAGAGGCCAGGGGATGCCACCCCAAACCTTGTTTGGAGATAGGGAATTTTAGGGCATTGGAGGGGCTACTGGGAGACATTGACTGGGAGAGTCCTGCTGTGGGGTGCAGTGGGTCCCCAGGGGACATGGGGCTGGTCTTTGGGGTGCACAGCAAGCCCCAGGGACAGGGTTGCAGCTATGTAGGTCTATAGGATACCCAGGGTTAGTAGTCAGAGGTCCATACGGGCTATAGGATGCTAGGGTAGGGACCAGAGAGTTTGACTGTAGGAAACCCAGGAGAGGGGTCCAGATATCCATGTGGGTCAGGGACTGCAGGATGCTTGAGCGGGAGACTTACTCCAAATGGGGCAGGGGTTGAGCTGTGAGACTCCCAGGGCTGTGGGTGAAGGGTTGGAGGGGGACACCAGCGAGGGATGAGTCCCATTGTGTGGGGCTATGCCCCAGTGCTTACCAGCGACGGTGAGGTCACTCTGGGAGCGTGTAATGGGCTGCCGTGGTCGGCTCAGTGCCAGCAGCAGCGCCGTCTTGGGTGAGTGGGTGAAGGTCCGGCGTGGGTGAGTGCTGGGGGTCTCGCGGGTGCCCTGGCCCCGGATGGCCGTGTCCCGCAGCAGCTCAGGGGGCCGCACGGTGCGCCGCGTCTCCGGCAGCCCCTCAGCGGCTGGCTCAGTCTGCATGGCCCGCTCGGCGCGCTCCCGCACCCAGCTCCGCCGTGGCCCATCCTCTGTGGAGATGGCCACATCCACGGTGCGGGCTGGGGGTCCTGGGGAAGCCATCCCCAGCCCGTTTACTGTCGCTGGTGCTGGCCCCGAGGAGTAGGAGGAGATGGAGGAGCTGGTTTCTGAGGTTTGAGACAACTGCTGCAGCTGCCCATTGGTCACTGCAAAGGCACAGCACGGACACAGTGTGACACACTGTGGGCCACCAAGGGTTCCACATCCCCCCTGAAACAGGGAACGTGTGGGGACTCATAGGGCCATGGGGATTGCAGGGCTGCTGGCAGGCACATGGGGAGCTCTGGGTTCCCAACGAGGGACATGTGGAGTTCCACAGAGTAATAGTGACCAGTGGGCTGCTGGCCACTGCATAGGGATCATCATGTCCTCCTCAAGTATGGGGACATATAGGATCCTGTGGGATCACAGGGCTGCTGGCTATGGCAGAGGGCTCTTCATGTGTCCTCCAAGGATGCGGGATAGGTGGGACCCTGCAAGCCCACCAGGCATGTGGGGATGCTGATGATGGCGCAGGGAGCCTTATGCCCTCTCCAAGGCCATGGGATCCCACGGCATGTGGATGTTCTCCCTCCTCACAGTGGCAAGACGCCGCTTGCACGGGGGTCCCAACTCCAGCCCTGTGCCCCAGCCCCACATCCCTGCCAGTACCCACAAGGCACTGCCCTTACAGCGACTGAGCCAGCAGTACTCGGCCACCAACTCCTTGTAGGCAGGGAACCGGCCTGTCTCCTAAGCACAGGGGAAGAGGACAAGGGGGTCAGTGAATGCCGGCTGTCCCGGCGAAACTGATCCGGTGCCAGCCATGAATAATGCATCCCCCCTTCCCACCTGCCTGAAACCCAACCAGCTGGCAGCTGCACCAGCCCCACAGGCGCCAGGCCGAGCTGGGGCAGCGCCAGTAGGGG